GGTCCGGCGTTTGCGGAGTGTTTTTTAATGCTCGGCAAACGCTCCGCAACCGCCGCATGCGCGGTTTAGCGGCGGTTGCTAGGCGTTTGCCGAGCGTTAAAAACGCCCCACAAACACCTATAATGCATTTTGAATGGTGTTACCGCTCCTCAAACGCCCCGCAACGCCAGCCGGGCGTTTGCGGAGCGGCACCATAGACTAGAATAGGAGGCTTCAACGCCTCCTGACTCAACCAGAGGTGTCCGTTTTGCCGCGACGCGACGCAAACGCTCCCGTGAGAACAGCACCATGTGCTGTAATGTGCAGAATTGGCAGAGGCGTTTGGGAAGCGGTAAAAACGCTTCCCAAACGCCTCTCTGCCGCCTGCACGCAACGCTAGTGTGAACGTAGCCTAATGCTTGATTTTCCATAGAACAGATTTATACAACTTTCCAGAAAAATATGTCTTGTGATTTGTGTGATCTACAGTACTTTGCGTAACTCATTAAAGTTTTACAGAACTAAACTGCACAAGGTCGACTGATCAGCTGAAGATTGCAGATCTATTTACTCAGCATGCTGTGGTCCAAATATTCCTGAGATTCCATCTGTCGGTTTCATTTTGCATCTCCCAAAATGTGTAAATAAGCAGAGATCTTTGACGTGGACGCGCCTTGTAGTCCATAGGCCACATACCTTTCTTGTGGCACTCTATGCATGCCATGGACTGTTGATTACTCTGTTATCTTTTGCAGCTGACTCCTAAATTCTTGGCAAATACACCTTGAGTATAATCAGTGTGATGTGTTGTATGTTAATCTTTATTTATCATGATATCAGGACTGTGATTAGTACCTATTGGCAGAGCCAGATATAATAATATTTAAGTGTGTCCTAGTCTTAATGCCTTCTCATTAAGGCCCCTTAACCACTTCATTTCTGGACACTTTTACCCCCTTCCTGTCCAGGCCAATTTTCAGCTTTCAGCGCTATCACACTTTGAATGACAATTCCGCGGTCATGAAACACTGTACCCATATGAATTTTTTTGAGATAAATAAAACTTTATCTTGGTGGTATTTATTCACCACTGGGATTTTTTTTTTTTGCTATATAAATGAAAAAGTCCAAACATTTTGAAAAAAAAGTGTTTTTCTTATACAATTTTGCAAATAAATAATCTTTCTTTGTAAATCTTGGGCAAAATGTATTCAGTTATCTTTTTAGTAAAAAAAAAACCCAAATTAGTTTAACCAAAAACTAATATTTTTCTAAATTTGTTTTACATTCTTCTTTTTTTTTTTTTTATATTATTATTTATATATTTTTTTTTTACATACTGTCACCATAGTGACACTGTACTACTTGTGGGGGGGTTTATGAAGATTTTTCTTTTTACACTGACTGCTTTTACACCCATAAAGGCTCCTTCTCTCTGGCTGCATTCTTGCAGTCATTGAGAAATACTGTATGAGCTGTGATTGGTCACAGCTTGTCACATGGTACAAGGCTGTTGTGAATAGCCTTGTACCATGTGACCTCTGTGATCATGTGATCATTCACAGGTTTCACACGTAGTAAGCAATGATGTCAGAAGTGACATCTTGCGTACTACTCTTCATGTGATCACTGATTGGCCAATCAGTGATCACATGATCGGGACCTCGCACAAAGGTCCCGTACAATCCTCCAGACACAGTGGGCACGGGAATGCGGTGGGAGCGCGCACAAGCAGGGGGCAGGGAGGACGTTTATAAATGGCCACTCGCACCTGCACTGCTCCTGTCCAGCCGTTTATATACATGGGCTGCACAGGGAAGTGGTTAATGAAGTAAAAGTTTTTTTTTTTAATTGGAAGTTACACCCAAGCATATCCCCCCCCCCCCCAAATTTTTCAAGGCCCCCACCCCCACATATGTACGCATGCAGAAACGTAAAAGCACGCACTAGGGCGCCTACACATGGGAACGTTGATTGCGATACACATGTTACATATCGCCACGCACCCCAGACCTCCTCTGTAACGCTGAACTGTTGACCTATAAGGGGCTTTAAATGCGCCACCTGTAGAAAATATAGGGTACTAAAGTTTGTTGCCATTTCACAAGTGCACACAAATTTAAGGTTTGACATGGTGGATATCTATTTACTCGATGCAACCTCGTCTTTTATATTGTACAAAAAATTGGATAATTTATTGCTTTTTGTACCCTAAAACTAACTTAAGTGTATTTTTTTACTGAAATTTTGCGTTTCCTAGACCTTTGTGATAATGTCGTGTGACATAAAAAATTTAAGCTACCGCTATTTTATTCTCTAGGGTCTTTAATTTCAGAAATATATAATATTGGGACTTTGTGTCATCTTCAGGCCTTCAGGTCTTCAGTGAAATGGATAAAGGATAACCCCGATACTCCCCTTTCCTGACGAGCACCCAATTGGTGCTCATTACACTGCAAGGTCTCTTTCCTCCCTGCTAGTCCCCGCATGCGTTGATGGAGAGAGGCGTGGGGGGGGGAGATAAACAGCACAATGTTAAAAATTAAACGTTTAAGTCGCCATAAAGCCCCTTTTTTTTAAAGCTCCAGACATTACTTAAAGCAGATTTAAATACAGTTTTGGTTAAAGTTTATGTTTTTTTATCAGGACAAGTAGATTGTCATGAGGGACAAGTAGATTGGCACACTGATTTAGTCCCTGGACAAGTAGTTTTTTCCAAAATTTCCACACCCCTGGATAGTATTCTGTCAATGGGAAAAAAAGTGTATCTGCTTGCCTGTACGAGGTACAAACACACAGATACCCTGACAGGCTTTCAGGAGTCCTGCATGGCACCAGAGATCTGCTGATCATTGATGCAATGCTTTACAGGCTACCAAAACAAAAAATAGTAAATGCATGTAATTTTTTGTTCAAAGGTGAATTTATCTTTTAGGACCCTATCATACAGAATAGTCTGGTCCCTGGCCTCACTTTTGTCCACTGCAATAGAGGATGGCGAAGGACCTGCCCCAGCCTGTATTTGGTTAATGAAAAATAGCAGCTCACTAATAAGATGATCCTCGACTCTCTCCTATCAGCCAGCTATCTGCATTAGATTGACAGCACTGCAATGCGGTAAAGCGTAAAAAAGCTTGGAGTGTACCCACTCATGCTCAAAGTCTAGAGCTGACCAAAAACAAATCAAATTTCAGTCAATTCCTGAAGAACTGGCCAACGTTTGCTCAGTGGGTGGCCCTGTCTATCAATATACATCAATTGAAAAATCGAAGGAGCCAGGTGGAAAATTGTCAGCTAAAAAATGGCTGCATCCAATCAAGCAGGCACTGTTCAGGTACTTTGACAGCTGGTGGAGCCAGGTATCAAAATACAATAGCTACAGCTGGATATTCCTCTTGTGTAGTGTGGAGGAATCTGTTGTATTTATGTGTATGGCCAGCTTAAGTCCTTCTGTACAGGAGGTACAACAGGCAATAAAATGACAAACGGGTACTACTTAAAATTCAGATGGGTCTTCTATATCTGTTAAGAGTTTTACTTTAATTCACATGCTATATCACAGATGCAGCAGCAATCCTATCATTGTCTCGAAGTGGATATCAATCCTAACTGATCGACATTATGGGGTGGATGTACTAAAGCCAAATAGTGCATTCATTTTCCCCAGAGCTTAGTGAATGTAGTGAAGCTCTACTGATTCCCATCATCCAATCATGTGCAAGCAAAAATGCTGCTTTTTTTTTATTTTTCTTGCACCTGATTGGGTATGCTTTACTGATTGAAGCTTCACCACATTCACTAAGCTCTAGGAAAAATTAGTTCAACTGCACTAGCAAAGTGCACAGTCTATTTGCCTTTAGTAAATCCACCCCTTAGTCTTCTAAAGCACTACACATCATACACAATCATTGCACCTCAGTGCCACTTATCTACAGCTTCTTTGCAGTTACTTCTTGTATACATGCATGCGCTTTAATGACAGCTGTGTGGCTTATCTCAGGGTTGGTTTCCAGATGGAAATGGCTACTTGTAAAATGAATTGGAAGATGGTGTGGTGACAGGGTGACAAGGCAGGAGTACCATTGAGAGATAAGGACAGACTGTTGTCACCCTATGGCAAGAATAATAAATAATAAAAGCTGCACATTTCAAAATATTGGTGGGTATAAACAAATACATTACATAATATATTTTTGTTATATAATATATGTATGTTTTTAAATGAGTAAGTATATTCAAATTCCTTCTAACCTTTTTCCTGTTTGTATTCCACTTTCACCTAAACAGGTGAATTAGGCCATACTGAAAGACTATGGACAGAACATAAAAGAGCTGCTGAGTTCTGTCGATTGTTTAATATACATTTATACCTTTTTGATACTTTTTATTAGTTTTTATTTTAATTCCTATGGCCTAAAGCTATATTCCAGGTATGGCAATTTTTTACCTAGTTATAATGGTCGAGCTAGGGTGTATGCATGTGTCATACCTGTGGAAACTAGAAATCACTGTAGTAGGCACCACTACTACAGTGATCTCCACTAGCATCATGGATCCAGTGCTGAATGTCTGCCCTTCTGAACGAACACATTAGGTTACTCACTCCACATGGGCACCATTCAGAGAACACTTTGCATCTTCCCAATAAATGCAAAGCATTCTCTGATAAGACGAGAAGGAGAAGTACAGCAGTGATGTCTCAATCTTTGCCTTGTCCAATCAGAGACTGCATTAACTGAGAAAATGGAAAGTGTTCTCTGAATGATGCCAGTGCTGTGTCAGTGACCTCCTGTGTTCACTAAGTAGAAGGGCAGCTACTTGACACAGGACCTGCACGCTAGCTGGGATCACTGTAGTAGCAAAGCCTTCTACAGTGTTTTCCAGCTTCCACAGAAAACGGCCAGGTATGCACATGCAGGGGTGGACTGACCATTTGGAAACTCGGGCACTGCCCGAGGGCCCGGGGTCAGTAGGGGGCCCCATGAGATGCCCCTGGTACCTTTTTCATAGGCTTTTTTGAGTTTGGGCAAGGAAACAGGGGCCTCATGATCCCCTATTGAGGGCCCGGGGTCAGTAGGGGGCCTCATAAGATGCCCCTGGTACCTTTTTCATAGGCTTTTTTGAGTTTGGACAAGGACACAGGGGCCCCATGATCCCCTATTGCCCGGGGCCCCATGAGTTGTCAGTCCGCCCCTGGACACATGCATACTTACATTGGTCTGAGCTGGACAAATGTAATGGAAAAATATCCATACCTGGAATTCAGATTTAAGAACTCCAGGTTAAGCTGAGTTTTATACAAATAAAAAGTCTCTTTCAGTCTGATCCTCATTATTCTATGCCGTTCAGCCTTCCTCACTCCGAGGGTGGTGCTCAGAACCTGAAAACTTTTGGCCTGCAGTTTTGGAGGTTCAGATTTAGGATCAAACTTAAAAGGATGATGTCTGCTTTATGGATGAACTAAGAGAGCCAGGGGCACTTGATAAATGCTGGGACAGAAATTAGGCATACTCCGCAAGGTCCTGTGTCCTCTGAGTGAGGTAATATGAAATATTATTCAAATACAATGTATGTTTAATGTAGTATATTGCAACGCAATTTTGTGGATACAAGCTATGTATTCAAGAAAATATTATGATCATTTTACAGGTTTCCTTTATATTCTATACAATCAAAGTGCCTGGATCAGCATGTGCTATGTCATCCAGCATAAATTGTGTAGAATTGGTAAAAAAAAAAAAGACGTAACCCAATCCCCATCAGGTATAACATGACAAAGACAAGTGTTAGTGTATGCAGACAGCAATCCTCCCGTGTAAGGTTAACCTTTAACTACAGACGTGCTGGAATTCCCCTCTCACCTGAGCCAGTATCGGCTCACGAGACTGAGTTTCTCTAAGATTTAATTTCACTAAGCACTGCCTTCCTTTGTATTGTTTTGCTGCTATATTGTGTGTATTTCGGTGTATGTGTTTATTAGAAACATTGACCACTTGCCCTCCAGAGAATTTACCCCCCGGCTTGCACGCGTCCCCTACCCGGAAATGCAAAATCATGTATATATACATGATTTTGTGCACTCCTGCTGCCCTGTAACAGTATTTCTGCTATAGGGCGGTGGGAAAGCCATTAAAAGTGATATTAAAGGCAATTAAAAAAAAATAATAACCAACATGTCATTCTTACCTGCTCTCTTAGGTTTTTGCACAAAGCAGCGCTGATCCTCCTCTTTTTGGGTCCTCCACCAGAGCTCCTGGCCCCTCCGTCCTGCCTAGTGCCCCCAGAGCAAGCAGCTTGCTATGGGGGCACCCGGTTCAGCAAGAACCAACCAAATTTCGATCCCTCTATGGGCAGGTTTGCTGTACTGAAGGCAGTCTATTGATCGACTGAAGTACAACCGACCTGTTGTTTTTTTTTTATGTGATCACTGTCTGCGGTTATAGCCACCATCAGTGTTTATTGTATTTTGAGGAATCCTTCCCACTGTCAGAATACAATAGTACAATGGGAGGGATTCCCCCATCAACACTGACTGTGTTGATGGGGAAATTGAGCTATTTTTGTTCCTTCAACCTATGGTTAAATAAAGAACATTGCATAATCTATGGCTAGCTAGAGTATGCTTAAGCTGGTCTAAGGCTCAGTTCACATTAACTTTGTCAGCAGGCGTCAGACAGGCGTTTGAGAAGCGTTTTTAACACTTCTCAAACGCCTATGAAAATTCTGTACATAGCAGCACACAGTGCCGTTCACACTGAAGCGTTAGCGTCGCGTCACGGCAAAACTGACCCCTCTTGTAGAGTCAGGAGAAGTTGAAGCCTCCCATTCAAGTCTATGGTGCCGCTCCTCAAGCGCCTGGCAGGCGTTTGCGACGCGGTAGCGAGGATGTTTGCGAGGTGGTTGCGAGCATTAATACCATTTAACTTCATTATAGGCATTTGTGGTGCGGTTTTAACGCTTGGCAAACGCCTATTAACCGCCTCAAAACCACACATAGGGCATTTGGGGAGCGCTTGAGGAGTGGTACAAACGCTTCCCAAATGCCTGTCTAATGCCCGTCAAATGCTATAGGGGCGTTTGGCAAAAGTTAGAAATAAAGTCAAGTGTGAACGAGCCCTTACACTAATAGATATTCGAAAAAACATTTGTACAAAAATTCAAATGAAAATTACCATTGGTGAATTTAATGACTTGAGAATAAATTGAAAATATTTGCTTTTAACATCCGATTTTGGAGTGAATGGACTTTCCCGAACAAAAACCACATTCACTGTTAGAAATGTGTTTGTTCAAGGAAAAATCAAACATTCTTAAAACAAACGTTTTCAAGTGGCATTCTACTAGTGTATGGCCAGATTTAACAGATAGATAGATCTGCAGGTAAAATGTGTATGTATGAAGTTAGAGCCATTTTTATCTGGGAGCAGGGGCGGACTGACAACTCATGGGGCCCCTGGGCAATAGGGGATCATGGGGCCCCTATGTCCTTGCCCAAACTCAAAAAAACCTATGAAAAAGGTTCCAGGGGCATCTCATGGGGCCCCCTACTGACCCCAGGACCTCAGGCAGTGCCCGAGTTTCCAAATGGTCAGTCCGCCCCTGTCTGGGAGTGATTATGTCCTGCTCTATGTATGGTCCCTCCTGTAAGGCTGGTGCATTTTTGCTGCCTTTCTAGTTTGCTAAATGCAAGAAAAATGCAATCCCTTTAAATCCTATTGGACTCTTCACATCACTGTGCTGGGGGTGGTGCATTTTGAAAAGTCCTAAATGCTGCATCTTTGGTACTGTTGTAAAACCGCACCAGAAATGCAGGTCCTCATTAAAATGAGTAGAAAAATGCATCAAAAATCCAAAATAGGGCAAAAACATATAAAAAATAGACATGCATTGCGTACTTTGAGTCACTCGTCCAAGTATCACAGGTACATGTTGGGAAATAGGCACCCAAAAAATGCATCAAAACGCATATGCATTTTTGGTGCGTTTATTCAGTGGAGCAGTGTGAAAGCAGACTAATACCTCTTTGCTACATAGTAGTCAATGGTATCAGACTATCATCTTTTTTTTTTGTAAATTTTTTATTTTTAATATTTAAAGGAACATAGCAGGTGATATACTCAATGAAAATGAACTTTCTTTAACGAAATACTTTGACATGTACAGCTCCTCTCTTTACAGAAGTCCTGAAGATGAATCACCTGTAGCTAACCAGACTTCTGCAGACCGAGCTTCCGCCCTAAGCAGACACCCTCCCCCCTCCCTATGTCCCCGTGTCACTGAATACACACAAACGCAGGTGAATGTTCCCTTGTCACCTCCCACATTCCAGTGTACTGTGACCGCGCCGTGCTGAGTGCTGGATCCCAAGTGTCATGGAAGGCTGAAGAAGTGACAGCAACTGCCAATGTCTGGTATGTCTTGCAGTGGTCCTGTTGTGTTAGATTCTCTGCTAACAGTTGTTAACTGCCATTGATGAAGCCAGGACAGAGGGGGCTGTGGCTGGGGAGAATGCCATACACTTGGAGACAGGCTTATGGCTCTCCCGAATATAAAGGAAGGCCAAGTCTGAAGTAACACCTAAATGACATATAGTACTGCCAACTAGAGCTGTGCACAGATCTGATCATTGAATGAAATGATTTTTTTTCACTTTGGTTCCTTCTTTTTATTCAGGTTTCCTGTGTGACTTTCCAGGAACACTGCCACTGCTTATTATCCATATTGTTTTCCCTCTGCATTGATCCCGTAGTTGCACGCTAATCACTTGTGTTCAAGTGTTGCAATTAGTCTACAACTCATTGTTCAGCATTGGATGTTTTACCTTGAGGCAGACGAGCCTTCCAAATTTTCTGTCTTGACAGCACATCGGCTTGATGGTCGTATGGATATTTGGTGACACTGTAAGCTACATAAGCGTTGCTAGCTCAGACATGTTAAATGAATAATGCATGCGGTGTGCCTTTCTGCCTTCGAGGTTTAACATTACCTAGAGATTATCAGGAGCAAATGAACTGGCAGGCAGTGTCTTCATGCAGGGCTGCCCAGATGAAATAATTTTTTGTCATTTGTATTTCTTTTATTATAGCATGCATAGTTGCAGAGAATCTGGTTTTCCATGAACATGGTATGAAACAGTTGTGAAACATTAAAGGCGGTACAGTAGATGCTTGCTTGCATCTGTAAAATGTCTTGCACCAGTTACGATTAGCTTGGCATGCATTTTTTTCTTTTTTAATCTATTAAATTTTAAATGCATAGTTCATCTTCACAAAATAATACTGTCTATGTAGGTAAGGGGTGTTTGTAGATAAAAAACAAACTGTGCAGCTATGACTAAAGTTGAATAATGCCCTTGCTACAGGTGTAGGCCAGGGGTGGGCAACCTGCGGCTCTCCAGCATTTGCAGGACTACAAGTTCTATCATGCCTCTGCAAGTCATAGCTATAACTGTCAGTTTTGCAATGTCTCATGGGAAATGTAGTTCCACAACAGCTGGAGAGTCGTAGGTTGCCGCCCCTGGTGTAGGCCATTTACATACCTTCTGAAGCCTGGCTGGAATACTTTCAGAATGTTGCTAAGTGAGGCCTAGTCAACTCCACCACCACACAAGTGAATTTCTTCTCTGAATCAAACCATCTCACATGCTCTTTTTCTCCCCCTGATGCAGTAGCTCTCAACTCAGCGTTTGAGAGGTCACTCCTGTGATGGTGGAGGTGAGCAGTAATGACTAGGCCTCACCTAGCAACGTCTTGGTAGTTTTCCAGTCAGGCTTCAGTAGGCAAGTAAATGGCCTACATCTATAGTAAGGGCATTATGCAACTTTAGTCAGAGCTGCACAGTGTTTTTTTTCTACAGGCACCCCTTATCTGCATAGGTAGGTTTTTTGGTAAAGGTGATCTAAGTAAAGTAGTATTAACCCCTTCACACCGGTGCCTCCTGGCCCTTTAAGGGTTCCAGAAGCCAGGAGGCGGGGTGCGGGGTTTAGTGTCATGTGACCTCCATGACGCGCCATCACGGTGGTCACATGATTGGGAAAGGTCCCAATCGAAAGAGGAGATCGGGACCTTTCCGTGAGTACCAGACATGTGTGCTGGGAGC